TTGAGTGATTAATAGGGTTCACCTCAGTTATGATTGAAATCAATGTATACACACATCCACATCCATCCAGTCTCAGAGTCCATTATGTGCTACTACGTGTCTTTCATTGAGGACAGGTTACTCTGTGGCCACTCTGTCATTAAGCTCCGATTTGTGGAGTGCTGCAGTGATACTCGCCCTCCTGGAAGTTTCTGCCATCCTCACACAGGATCTCTGGACTTCAGCCAGAGCGATCGTCAGGTCCTTGGTCTCATCTCTCATTAAGGCCATTCTAACACGATTGCTCAGTTTGGCGATCAGCTATAGTCGTGGTTGTTCCACAATTTTATGGTTTAAGAATCATGGAGGTCACTGATGGATTTTTGAAAATTCAGCATAAGGCTGCAACAAAAAATGTGAATCAGTCTGTATTTTTTTACATTGTATGGTCTTATTCCTTTTCATCAATAGGGGACGCTGTGGCACTGTAAATATTGCTGCAGAGGACACATTATAAGAGTGATGTGCACAGAAGAATGTCAGAAGTGCCCTTACAGACTGTTATAAAAGTTAGCTCTCTATTCATGACTGGGGTTGGCCATTTCTTGCAGCCTGAGGATTTGTACAGGACATCTTGTCATGCAAGTGGCACAAAATGATTCTACTTTAGAGAATGTTATGTTATATAATCTTAAGATAAATTTAACAGTTAGGTGTTAAATTAAGTTTAATCCTGCCATTGAACAAACACACATGATCCTGACCCTTTCTGCAGCAGTGTGCACTGATAAAACTGGAAACCCTCTCAGGGGGCATGTTGTTGCTTTACACATTGGAGGAGTTTGCAGGATTAGTCATCAAAACATTTTCTCACAACAACTGAGCACATTTTCTGACTGATTGTGATAGCTCTGTTGTTTCATAAGGTAGAGCCATGTAGGGTAGATTTATATGTAAACCTTAAAGAGAATTTTTGGAATATAATAATTGCATCTTTACAAAAGACAAATCTCTCCGAATTTTTTAGAAGGCTCTGCAGGGCAACTTTCAAAACCCTTATTGTCACATGTGAAGAAAGATAGTAAAATTCTGAGTGACAGAATGGTAAAACCTGTAACTGAGGATTTATCATTCTGTTACTAAGAGGCCTTAAAAGTCAGAGATCAGAGAGTCAGATTTCAATGTAAAAATAGAAGCTTTTAAAACAGGGGTTACTTTCAGACAGAGGAAGTGAACTTCACTTCCCTCAGAGGGTGAGATCGAATGTGTTTGACATAGACATAATAAGGTGATAGAACAACGAGCACAAAGTGAGGTGCACATCATCATATGGTGACATTTTCCATCCATCTGTGCATCAAGTCCAAAGAAAGCTGAAGCCCCTTGAAGCTGATCTAAAGACTGCATGTCGCCGGTGTCTGTGTCTGAAATGTCACAATGTTGCGCCATCTCTTTCATGTTGCTCTTCCATTTTTAACTCTTAGTCTGACACTGTGATTCTCACTGCAGCATAATCCACTCACTCACAAAGGGTTTTTCATGGGTTTTTTTTTGGGTTACTGTATTTGGTTTGTGTTCATAAAGTTTTCTCCATCCATACGAAAATCGAAAAAAGCATTTGAAACAAACGAAAAATTGATGACTCACACACATTCAAGCAGACTTTTTTTTTTTTTTTATGTGACTTTGTACTGATAAAAAAACTCAGT